CCCCCCCCCCCCCCCCCCCCCCCCCGACAGGGAAGGCCTTTTTTCTTTAGACCCCCAACGCCCTCCGTGGAGGGGTATGGTTATCCTTGGAACTACACAATACTCGACAAAACTTTAAGTTAAATCTCGTAGTCGTTCTCCTCCTCAAATCTAAAGGTCTTTAAAGAGGTGGAATGGTTCACTACATGTGCTTTTAAAGCAAGCCTCTTTAGCCTCATCATGCCGGAAAGGGAGGACTAACTCACAGGGTTTATTCTAGAAACTGGCCAATGAGGGTCAAATGGCCCCCCCTTCTGTAATTTTAAGGGGCCCTTTTTCAAGAAAGGGGTTCCGAGAAAGGGGAGACCAAATCCAAAAACAAACGAAGTGATTTTGGAGACGTTTGACATTCTACATGGGACGGACTCGCCGGACGCTTTGCCGCCATTTTGAAACATTCTGGCCAACTGAAAAAGCCTGGGCTCGAATTACCGCAGAATCCCGTATGTTTGCCCGGTGAAATAATGACTCAAACGACGAAGAGAAAGGCCATTGAGACAGTAAGAGGCTATAAAGGTCCAAAGTAAGTTTACAGAGCCGCCGTAAAATCAGTGTTGTTGTCAGTGATGTTTTCGAATACTTTGTTTAAAAAAAATAGTACTGATCCTTGGGTTTATTTCGACGCGGCAACGTAAATTATATGCGGCATTTTTTTCCAAATTGCGGAGATCCCCCAAGGCTGCGCTCTAGAATAAACCCTGACTCAGTAGGCCTATCGGCGTTTTGTAGTTCGTTATTCGCCACTTTCGAAACGAGAAGGGGACTGTAGCCGAAATGTGTCCCCAAATTGTGTCTATGATCGTTACTGGGGACGGTCAGTTGTTGGCCAAATAGACCTTGTCACGGTTTTGGAAGCCATCTTGACGAGCTGGCTACCGCGTGAGAAATTACAGTGTTTGTATGAGAATCTAATGTCGAATAACTTCATGTAAAATGGCTGTTCTGAAAAAAAAAATTAATTGTAAACTAAAGCTTCACTCGTAACAATTCTACTGAGAACATTTGAAGGCGTTACATACAGCTACATACGCTAGAACCACTTTTCAAAATTTTCTGTACATTTGTCTGTAAAAACTTGTCTTCCCTTCCCACCGACTAAAATTTCCCGGGAAAAATTTGCGGCAAATATATGGAAAATCTAAAGCAAGCTAGCGTCTGGAGAAATTTAAGCACAGTTAAGGCCCCCAAAATTTGTTAGTATGATCCTTTGTTGTGTACAGCTTTAGTTTACAATTCTTTTTTTTTTTCAGAACAGCCGTTTTACGAAAACTATTCGACATTAGATTCTTATCATGACAAACATTGTAATTTCTCACGCGGTTGCCTACTCGTCAAAAAATGGTCTCCAAAACCGTGACAAGGTCTATAGTCCCAGCTATTGACATGTCATTCTTCCAATTGTTTTAGTATTGTTTGGGGTCAGGGAAACGCACCATTGGTGACTTCTCTTCCGTGGTTACAGTGCTGCCTGGTGTAATTTGTTTGATATCTTCTTCATAAATCTGCAGGTGCATTTTGTGGGTGAGGGCACCAAAAAATGACTTCAACACAGAATAAATTCACTCAAAACAGCAAATATATCGATCCTTCACTATGATCTAGCTCACGCTATTCATCGGTGATGAGCTAAAGGGGGGAAGGCCCTAGCCGTCCGCCTACGATAAAAAGATCGCTTTGTAAAATCTCTTACCTGATAAGACCCGCAAAGCACGTCCACGTGTTAAGACGAACATCAGAGCTTTTTTCTCCAGGATTTCCACGCTACCTTGCTGGAGAGATGAAATCATGATTCCTCAAAGGTCGGTCTTGTACTCGGATTGACAAGGCAAGCTCAGTTTGCGGTTTTTCACCGCCCTTAAGTCTTCTTTTTGTTGAACAATCTAGAATGAAAATAAAAGCATTTTGTCGCCTAAACGTCCACGCCACCTGGACTTCTAGGCGACAAAAACCGAAACACTGCAACGGAGGTTCACGAAAACGTCTGCACTTAAATCTAGTGCGAGACATCGTAACGCCTTTTTTCTTTAGACCCCCCAACCCCCTCCGTGGTGGGGTATGGTTATCTTCTGGAACTACACAATACTCGACAAAGCTTTAAGTCAAATCTCGTAGTCGCTCTCCCCCTCAAATCTAAAGGTCTCTAATGAGGTGGAATGGTTCACTACATGTGCTTTTAGAGCAAGCCTCTTTAGCCCCACCATGCCGGAAAAGGAGGACTAACTAGCAGGGTTTATTCCAGAAACTAACCAATGAGGGTCAAATGGGCCCCCTTCTGTAATTTTAAGGGGCCCTTTTTCAAGAAAGGGGTCCAAGAAAGGGGACACCAAATCCAAAAAACTAGCAAGTGATTTTGGAGACTTTTGACTTTCTACATGGGTCGGACTCGCCGGACGCTTTGCCGCCATTTTGGAACATTCTGGGCAACTGAAAAAGCCTGGGCTCGAATTACTGCAGAATCCCGGATGTTTGCCTGGTGAAATTATGACTCAAACGAAGAAGAGAAAGGCAACTGAGACAGTAAGAGGCTTTAAAAGTCCAAAGCAAGTTTATAGAGCAGCCGTAAAATCAGTGTTGTTGTCAGTGATGTTTTCGAATACTTTGTTTAAAAAAAAAGTACTGATTTTTCGGCGCCCCATTTGACGCGGCAACGTAAATTTTATGCGGCATTTTTTCCAAATTGCGGAGATCCCGCAAGGCCGCGCTCAAGAAGAAACCCTGACTCAGCAGGCCTATCAGCGTTTTGTAGTTCGTTATTCGCCACTTTCCGGAAAGAGAAGGGGACTGTAGCCGAAATGTGTCCCTAAATTGTTCCTATGAACTTTACTGTGAACGGTCAGTTGTTGGCCAAATAGACCTTGTCACGGTTTTGGAAGCCATCTTGACGAGTTGGCAACCGCGTGAGAAATTACAGTGTTTGTATGAGAATCTAATGTCGAATAACTTCATGTAAAATGGCTGTTCTGAAAAAAAATTAATTGTAAACTAAAGCTTCACTCCTAACGAATCTAATGAAAACATTTGAGGGCGTTACTTGCAGCTACATACGCTACAACCACTATTCAAAATGTTCTATACATTTGTCTGTAAAAACTTCTCTTCCTACCGACTAAAATTTCCCGGGAAAAATTGCAGACAAATTTATGGAAAATCTAAAGCGAGTTAGCGTCTGGAGAAATTTAAGCACAGTTAAGGCCCCCAAAATTTGTTAGTATGATCCTTTACTGTGTACAGCTTTAGTTTACAATTCATTTTTTTTTTTCAGAACAGCCGTTTTACGGAAACTATTCGACACTAGATTCTGCCTACTCGTCAAAAAATGGTCTCCAAACCCGTGACAAGGTCTATAGTCCAAGCTATCGTCATTCTTCCAATTGTTTTAGTATTGTTTGGGGTCAGGGAAACGCACCACTGGTGACTTCTCTTCCGAGCAGCTGCAAAAATCACCAAAAAAATATTGTGGTTACGGTGCTGCCTGGTGTAATTTGTTTGGTATCTTCATAAATCTGCAGTTGCATTTTGTGGGTGAGGGCACCAAAAAATTACTTCAACACAGAATGAAGTCACTTAAAACAGCAAATATATCGATCCTTCACTATGATCTAGCTCACGTTATTCATCGGTGATGAGCTAAAGAGGGGAAGGCCCTAGCCGTCCACCTACGATAAAAAGATCGCTTTGTAAAATCTCTTACCTGATAAGACCAGCAAACCATGTCCACGTGTTAAGACGAACATAAGTGCTTTTTTCTCCAGGATTTCCACGCTATCTTGCTGGAGAGATGAAATCATGATTCCTCAAAGGTCGGTCTTGTACTCGGATTGACAAGGCAAGCTCAGTTTGCGGTTTTTCACCGCCCCTAAGTCTTCTTTTTGTTGAACGATCTAGAATGAAAATAAAAGCATTTTGTCGCCTAAACGTCCACGCCACCTGGACTTCTAGGCGACAAAAACCGAAACACTGCAACGGAGGTTCACGAAAACGTCTGCACTTAAATCTAGTGCGAGACATCGGTAGCGATTAGATATAAAAACTTTGGGTTAGTATTGGTGCCCTTGGAGGATATNATCTAGAATGAAAATAAAAGCATTTTGTCGCCTAAACGTCCACGCCACCTGGACTTCTAGGCGACAAAAACCGAAACACTGCAACGGAGGTTCACGAAAACGTCTGCACTTAAATCTAGTGCGAGACATCGGTAGCGATTAGATATAAAAACTTTGGGTTAGTATTGGTGCCCTTGGAGGATATATGAACAATACAGTCAAGAGCAATCGTTCGTACAAGAAAGTAGAGAAGAGGACGCAGTGAGGGTCGATTCTCTGAATCAGGGACGCCTTTCCACAAGTTGCTCGGCAACTTTTTGGCAATTTCCCGTATTTGGAGCAAGTTTTGGCGATTCTGAGCAATTTCTAGTCGCACGAATACGTACAGGTACGATAAGCGACCACTAAGCTTCTTGGGATTGGTCTGAGGGACAGGATGAAGATCAACAAACATGGCGCACTAAACGTACTGTGTTCAAAACTGCAATAACATTTTGAGAATGTAAATAACCTTCGTTATCACAGAATTCCTAAAGACCCTGACGCACCAGGTATTTCTTCTTCAGTCAGAGGAACCTTGAGAGGTGGCTTGCTTCTGTTCGCCGTGTGTTTTTGCTGTCCCTCAAAACCCTCACTGTCATAAGTCGAAACAATTCTTCGCTCGTTTAGAACATGGCTTATTGTCTTCAATTTGTCTTGGGACGACTATTTAACAATTATTCCTCGAGCCTCGAATGGGCTTTGATTCAATAGCCCATTCAGCCTTCGGCCTCATGGGCTATTTACTCAGAGGCCATGAGGGCGAGAGGAATAATTGTTTTAGCAAAATCCAACTAGTAGGTCAAAAATATCGAGAATAAAAAAAATTCAACTGCTTACAGCTAGACTTAAACCTTTTTTGCCGCCAAAAGCCGGCGCTTTTCGCTACTAGTGGGCTATAACATATAGCCTAGTAGTTGCTCAACCAGTCAGAACGCAGGATTGATAACAGACCACCAGTTGGATTTTACTAAAAACTGTAATACCCAAGAGAAATTTCAAACAAAGGTTATACAAAATTGGTGTATTGTGGGAGATGTGTAAATGGCGAATAGTTTGCGGGAAAATCCGTATGGAAAGTAAAGTGAATACAACTTTTCGAGTCTCTCGTAGAACGAAAAATTCGCCGGAAACAAACGGAAAGTCTGAAAACGTAGTCGTGTTTTTCGTACTCTATTCTTATACATCCATCTTTGATATTAGTTTTACCAGTTTGTTTCAGTTTGCCCAAAACCCTGAACCGACCGGTTTCCGTAAGTAAACGATATTACAACAACCTATATTTAACGGAATATTGCCTCCTTCCACTTTCCTCCTTTCATTGTGGAAATATACACTGCGAATTTCTCATTTACAGGCCGTGAAACTTTTACGAATTTCTCCGGAATCACTAAAGCAATAATAGAGTCCTTAAGATACACCGTTACGTTATACGCCATTATCACATCTCGAAAGTAATGGTTGTCTTTCCCGTAGGTCACCAAATAAATGAGTTTAGAAGTAAGAAGTATATCATTGCTGCGAGAAAGTAACCTCTCCTGTCCACTCACATGGGCTTTACTTTTTACAGTGTTTTCTTGCGTAGAATACACTGATGAGGACTATTCTTGGGATACACTGCAACAAAATTAGAAAAGAAAGGAATCAGCGCAGGAAAGTCGTGGCAAAATTTTCACATGGCTGTAATAAATTATTAAAGTAAGCCTAACCTTTTTGTCTAACAGTTTATTTAATAGAGGATTTGTCCGCATCCACTTAAGTCTATAGACTCTAGTAGCACAGTGATTAGGTAGTGCAAGATCGCTTCGCACAACCCCTCAGTCCTCCTGCGAACGGTGAACCAGACTGACGTGTAGATGGAAGAAATGATATCTTGGAGCATTTCGAGTATCACATCACAGAAGAAAGCGGAAGTAATGATATTTGCCAAGTCATGACTGGAAAGAATCCTTGTAATGAACAAGCCAGCTTCCCGAAACTAGAAAAACCGCATCCACGACAAAGTTTAACAAAAAGAAAAGTGAAAAACTTATAGCAACCGAAAGTGATAACATGCCACGCACACATGCTGTGAAAACATTTAACATTTAAAAAAAAAACACTATCTTCTTAGATTATCACGTCTCTTAGACAAATTCCTTTCAAAAATGTTTCTGACACAGGAAAGTAATTATACGATAGACGTGGCTACACATAAATTATTACCTGTTATTACAGTCTCAATTTGTTATTAGTTCCATCTCAGCTCAGCCGGTATCTACACGGATTGACTTGTTTATGAAATAGCTGGCTGCTCTTCTGCTCTCCATTTTGTATAAACAATATTTCAGAAACAGTACCTGTTGTTGGTGAATGAAAGTCTGTTTTGGCTTAGTACGATTAACTGATCATCATGAAAAAACTTTGTTTGCCAATTAACAAAAAACATCTGGGCTACAAGAGACGTTAATCTATGACCACCTTAATTATCATATTGTTGAGACTAGCAATGTCTTAAAATTACTTCTCTTATACCGCGTTCGAAACTGTAACTAACGTTAGCGACCAATTGCTTGGCACATTTTCATTAAAAGTAATCTGTTTATTATTTAACAAAAAAGACTATCGGTTTGTAAAGGGAGTGAAATGTTAAAGACTAAGCTAACTGAGAACGCGGATTTAATATTTAAAAAAAAACTCGCGTTCGACTCAGTATAAAATGATGCAATCTTGGGTAAACTCGATCTACAATTTACGTTTGATGTTTTGAGTTTTACCGGCCTAAAAAGGCAGTAGGTTGTTCGTTTAATGTACCATACATCGTATGACATAGCAATTTCGTGCAGGAACATTCATTTATGATGTAACGATCAAATCGTTCAAAGTTCAGATGGACAAGAGATCGATGACTCAGCTATTATTGGTGAGTATATGTGTAACAAGCTTAAACATACCTGAACGCCTGATCCACTGACTCGTTAACGAAACGGTAACCTAAATTCACCGATTCTGCCTTCATCAGGAAGATATCTGAAGGCACTTGATATTCAAGGCAAAGCTGTCTGGATTTTTCGACCAGACACAAAAGATGTCGCTTACGTTAATGACTCTAAGCTCTTGTACTTGCGTGACGGAGCTGTTCCACGTGTTGTGCATGTCACGCGGTCCTTTCGTTGAAAATCTTATCCGTTAATTGAGGCGCGTTTTTTGAAGAATCAAACTTAGAGCCTTTATCCTAGATGCTTTGGAAGAAGCGAAGAGTCCGAACTTGATTCTTCAGAGTATTGTAAACAGCAATATTGGCGCAAACCGGAGAACGTGCCAGGCTTCATATTTTCACGGGAAGGCCGCTTGCCAGCGGTTAAGCCAGCGATACTTTTTATCTGTCAAAAAGTGCTCCTGGCAAGCGGTTTTTCCTCTGAGAATCGACGACAATTATTAATTGGCCCAGATGGCGCCAACATTAATGTTTTTTGCCAAAAGTAAGCTGACAAAGCCATTTTCTCTAGCCGGCCGGGAGCTTTAGAATGGGTTTTAACAACTTTTCTTCAAAAAATCTTCAACATTTTTTCACTCTGTGGATGAAAATACTGGGCCTATGAGTTGTCGAGAGTGAGAAAACGGGAGCCGGCACCGCCTATAAAGATGTCTATAACCACCCACCCTAGGCTCCTTCTGCTTTGGTAAAAGGAGCAGTTTTCTATAATACCGTAAAATTCCGAAAATAAGCCCCTTCATGTATAAGCCCCTCCAAATATAAGCCCCCCC